TATGCTATTGAGAGTGGATTCTCCAGGATTAATGTCACTAACAACGTCACCGGCTTCATGATTGTCGTAAGCCAGGTTAGGTTTGTGCTGCCTTCAGAAAGGGCAGTTTCCCTGTCACTTCGCTATTCTTCATGGTAATGAGTAGGATCAACCCATCTACCCCACTGACAACTAATCCTTCTTCCCCTTCTCCACAAATCAATTAATCCTTTCAGTCATCAGCCAGATCAGCAGGCTGATTCAGTTCACTGCTCAGCCCCGCAGGCAGGGCAAAGGGAGTGGGAGAATCCCCTTGTCCTTTGGCTGAAGCCAGCTGTGAAGAGCACGCTGAGAATTGATGGAGGTGCTTCTGAGGTGCAAGGGATGGCACAGGGCTGCTGAGCAGTGCAGTAAGTGGCTGCTGTTGGAGCAGATGGGCCAAGCAGCGTGACAGCTATGGCACATGAATCCAGGTGGCTTTGCAAATGAGAGACTGAAGTGCAGTGACTAACAAACAAATGGAATAAGCCTTCACATTAGAAGTAAGGCATAAGGTACAAGGAGTATATTGGATTTAGTAGACTGGGTAAGATAATAGCTGAAAAACAGAAAGCATTTACAAGCAGAATGAAAGACATGGGAGAGTTCCCTTACCGAGACTTCTTGATGTGTGTCAAACATCTAGTCTTCAGAAACACCAACACTCCAAACTAGACAAAGGTAACATGAGGAAGCACTTTGGTTTTGACCTTCTGGATTAATTCCTGACCCAAACCCATCTATTCCAATCCAATGCCACTAAACTATCCAGCGAGCTCTCAGGCTGTAAATGAATCAAAATGAATCTGAGATCTTACTATGTGGAAATGCCATCTCTGATATGATGCCCCATTTTTCTTGTGAAATTGGCCCCTATTGCTTTAACATTACAAAGGCACCTTATTAAGTGGGAGATAGGGGAAAATCCTTCCTGGTAGGATCACTAATTACCCAAACTTCAAATGTAACCCTGTTCTAACTTTATTGCTTCTATACACTTTGGGCTTCTTCTGAAGGTGGCTGTCTTCTGAAGGAATGTATTAAGTATTCTGCATTGTCAATTGCCATTTCTTAGAAAATGAGGTGTAAGTGAAGGTTTTCCTCTTCTATCTTTTTTTTTAAACAAACTTGACTTTCTTCTTGGCATTCTCCCTTTGTGGCAGGAAATGAGCTCCGTTGTGGTCCCCTTCAGTTTTGTGGTTTTGATAATCCTCTCAGACACTTGTCTTGGACCAGCAAGCGAAGATGGGAACTCCACCAAAGTGTTAAATATCTAGCATAGTAACTAAACATACCCCTACCTGTCAGCTTCAGTAGTGTCTGATTGTAAAGAATATTATTATAAGTTATATTATTTATAATAATAAATATATGTGCAATTATTTTAAAGTTCCAGAGACCTTTGCCCCTGTCCATTTAAGGTTACTTCTTTCTCTGCATAACACAAAGGGTTGGTACGTTAGTATGGTGCCAGATTCAGCTCACATTTTGTAGTGACGTAAATCCAGAATCACTTTATTGACATTGATAAAACAGATGGCTAAACCCAAGCTAGACAGAACTGTAATTATATCTGCAGTGTTAGAGGTGAAGGTATGTTATTAAAATATTTCCGTCTCTTTGAATAATGTGTAGGTCTTGCAAAATGTAAGCATCATACTGACAATATCAAACGTCACTCTAGCTTCTGGATGGGAAAAAGTATATGGTGCAAAAGGGAATATGCGCAGAACGACTATGAGAGCTACTAATTAGCCATTATAGGATTCCATTAATCTCTTCAATCGACTAAAAGAATTATAGTCATTGAAGTCTATTTGTCTTAAGAGGGAAAGAAGGCTTAACCAAAGCCTTTGGACTGACGATAGTGCAAGGAAAAGCATATTCTGTGCATCTAGCTACATCTGTTGGTTTTCTTAGAGAAGGTCACAGCCATTTTCAGATAACGTCAGAGCAGATACCATTCAAGAGTGCTGAGTATATTAGTACATATTTTACCAGAGGTCTGAGCTGCCCACGGCTAAGCATGCATATACGCCAGCTAAAGTAATTTGTGTTCCTGGGCGGGAGTTTGGAGTTGGAGGTCATGAATAGAAAAATACAGGCCCAAATTACTTCAACACTTTTCTCTTCCGCTGGTTAGTGTAATAGATGATATCTTACGTACAGCTCCTTTCTCGTGGCTATCAGCAGGGGGCAAGACGGGCCGTGCAGCCGGGGAGCAGCCACGTCCTGCGCAGCTGCGGGTCGCCTGTCCCCGGGGCTGCGCGAGTCCCTCAAGGCGGTGGCCTTCACCTGGCTTCTGCGCCGTAGCTGCCAGATCTTGCACGGTCAGTGGGACCACATTATGATGGAATCATAGAATCGTTTAGGTTGGAAAAGGCCTTTAAGATCATCCAGTCCAACCCAGCAGTTTGAAAGCTGGAAATCATAAGTGGTTTTTTGAGTTCCTAACATTTGTGGTTCTGATTTTAATCTTCCTAATATGAAACAGTTACATTTGCTCCAACGTGGTTTTCCTGAGTTTATGGGCAGCTTCAGCAGCATAAGCTCCCTCTCACCCAGTGAGCTCATATGTCAACAGTATTTCCTATTTAATTTATTTGTTTAATTGTTGCCTATGTTATCAAATAGGGTAAGAAACTGCATTGGGTTAAGGTTTCTGGGGGGAATCAGAAGTGAAAATGCAGAAGAGAAAAAAGGGAGGAGAAACAAGAAAGGGTAGTGAACAACAGAGAAGTGAATTAGCAGTGGCTATAAAGGTGGAGACATACTGCCACCATGCAGTGATGATGGTAAAAAGAAAACTAACCATGTTTTGCCATGGATCTCTGGTGCAGGCCCATCCTTGAAATTGGTGGGAACTCAATGGACCAGAGAGCACGTTATCTGTAATGTATTTTTTGGCTCACAGATCACAATTAAAATTAAATTCTGCCTTCTGCAAAATTAAATTGGACACACTGGTCTGCCGCAGTGAATCCTTGATCTCAGTTGGTCTCAGTTGAGCTAGACTACTCAAGAAAAAAGCCAAATGATAACTATGGAACTTTTCTTGTGAGAGTATGCGAAAATGCTATCACAGCACAAGTTATTTTCAAGGAAATCTAGGATGTGTGGGTTATTTTTCAGGAGAGGAAAGATTGTTTTACAGGCTCTCTCTATTGACTGCTGATCATTCCATTCAAGTGTCTTGGCTGCAAAAATATTAATACAAATGTTGTTATGAGATGATGATGTTCTCAATATTACATAGAATAAATGTTATCACTTAAATATTGTAAAGTGCCAGCATTTCTGCATGCTGCAGCTTTTTGCTAAGATGAGCATACACTTGTCAAATGTTTTGAATTCTGTATTATTCAGTAAATGAGCATGTGGTTAATTAAAGTAGCATTACTATACTGGGAGGTGATCAGATTGCAAACATATCTTTAACAATTGGCTTTTGTAAATAAAATAGAAGGGAGCTGATTGAGATCTGAAAATGTCAATAGATGCAAAAAGTCACCTTAGAGCATTACCTGATAAAATAAAGAGTAGAGAAGTAATGACATGGTCAATATTAACTGCCATCAGATGGAAGGAAATCAGATTGTCAGGGATCTATAAAATTCTTGCCAAAGTAGAACCTCATTTACATATACAGATCTTCATACCCTTTGCTAAGAAAAGCATATGTGACAGCTTAGAGGTTTTAGCTGCCAAAGATCTTTCACTCTGAATACAGTAAATGTCACATCTATTTATTTATCGTTAAATTTTGCTAAGTATCTGTAGAAATATTTGGATTTTTTCTATCATAATGTAGATGTTTAAAAGGAAAGGAATCCAGATTATAATGCAGCTGTAGCACCAAACCATATGGCTGCTAAATGGGAGCAAAAATACACCACTGAATTACTCGGAGTAAACACAAACTGGATGCTATCTTCAGAAGAATATTAAATGGAATATATAAATACCAGAGTATTGCCATAAAATCATGCAATCAGACAATAGTAGCCATCAGGCAATGGATTATTTCACATGCTGAAAGTAATCACAGTTGTATAGCAATTTACGTTTTCTAAATGCCAGACTGAAAATATTAACTAATGAATCTTGGCAAGCACAGTGTTTCTACCAACTGCAGTGGTGGTTATAACAACATCTAGGCCTTTTTTGAGAGAGAGAAAGAGAGAGAAATAAGGCAGCCATCCTACACCCCAGCCTTATCAGAATCTGTCCGGAGTCCCAGGTGCTCGAAACAGTCTTGTTTGTCTTTAATTCAATTCAAGCCTTTGACTTCTTTCTTTTAAGAAAACGTCTGTGGGTGATTTATTAGTATATTGGGTGGAATTTGCACTGTGCTGAGCAAGAACAAATGGTCCAGTGGAATACATACTCAATGTTATGAATAGTGTCTGGCATGAGAGAGAACTCAAATTAGTGTGGGTGTTGTGTTGCCTGTTCTTTTGTTTGGAGACCGTTTCATGATAAGTCCATTTGGATTCTGCATCATTGTGTAAAAAGGAAAAAGTCACTAACTTTGAGGAGAAAAGCCTGTGTATCTGCTCAGCCTGGCAAAAACTTACTGGGGGCAATTATCAACCCTACTTCCATACTTTGTGTCTCTTCTGTTCTTTTTATACAATGTGGAAGGAGGGGAGGCCTCTTCATCCCATCCACAGCCATCTTCAAACTGCAGACAAGAACTAAACGATCCTTGAACTTCAGTTGGACTTTGTAAATTATCATTGTGGGGAATAGACTCTCAGTATTCGTAACTGCAATGCTTAGAATTAGAAATATAATATGAAGCGTTTACCTCAAAATTGGCCAGATTCATCAAGATTTCTTATTACCACATCTTGAACTAGCTGTGCCCCTGGGAACTCAGATCTAAGTGATGTTGAGTGAAGACTTTCCCTCCTGAGTTTGTAGCTGAAGTTTTATGTATGAGACGAATAGCAACTCTGAATATATCTTTCTTTCTACAGATGATATGGAAGCAATTCCAGTCAAGCAGTTCGTTAAACACATCAGTGAGCTGTATTCTAATAACCAGCATGGGTTCTCGGAAGACTTTGAGGTACGATTTAATAATCCACCAATAAAATGTTGTTTTCCTAAAGTTAATTGTGTATTAATACTTACGGACTGTGCGACATCTGTGTGATGCTGTCACGTCCGGTAAATGCAATACTCAAATGTATCAGAAGAAATAGGGAAATACCAATTTGTCACCAGGTATGAGCAATGTGGGACTGGACACTTACAGATGATTCTAACCACCACAGATTTGGTGCCTTTAAGGGGGGGCCCTTCTAGGTTTTTATTAAAGAGGAAAAGCTGCCTGCAGTCCCCCAGGAATGACATGAAGATACAAGCAGTTGTTTTTAACTCCAGGCTTTTCTTCTGATCGGCAGCTTATTTTACTCTTATTGGCCCAGAATTTGCTCCTCTTAGTCACACTGAGTAGCCACATAGCCCTTGAGTAGCCCAAAAGGGGTAAAATAGTGCTCACTATGAGTAAGAGTAGTAGAATTCAGTCTTCTATGAAAACCCAAACTATGTGTCAGTTCCTGGAGTCCTTGGTCATCCTCTGTTCAGCCAGGAAAGATTGCTGTTGAAGTCATCAGTTATTTTGTTCCAGTAAAACAAGGAGGAAAGCTTCAGGATTTAGTTACCTAACGTGTATTTACCTAATGTGACTATTTTAAGGTTTGCATCTTGTTACCTGTTTAGGACAGATTCTGGCCTATAAACGTGTGATAAATTGGAGGTGATCCCAATGAAGTGAAAGTAGTTTTCCACCTCTGGGTTACCAAACCTGTATTGTGCAAGCACGGTAGACATCACACAGTATGAGGATGGGCTGCAGAGTCAGGCCCTAATAAGCTCAAGTCAGTATTCTCTGGCTAGTTTTTAGGCATTTATTTAATTCAGTCTAATCACAGTGACTGCTGAACTTTTGGAAGTATTGAGAAGCAGGAGGAGCCCCAGGAAATTGCATGGAGCTGTGCTACTGGCATCCCTACCAGCAAAAGGAGGTGTGCTTGTGTGCTGCATGTGAATCAGAGAGGCAGCTCTGCTTACAAACAAGGCAGTGAACCAAAATCGGTGGCCTAATATCTACGGCTTCTTCACTTACTGCAGTAAAGACAAGACTGTATTCAGGAATTGTTTTTAATGGGATCATTTAAAACATTTATTGTTGCTGTTTGGTTACTGTCTATAAAGAGTGGCTGCTCTGTCTGATGCCCAAAAACCATTGTGTAAGTTAGAAACATTTTGTATTCATGAGGAAGGCAAATGTGTAAGGTGTTAAAGTGATTTAGTTCAATTGACTGCTGGCTGGATGGCTGAGCAGGAATATTGAGGCATTTAACAATGTTGATGGTATTCAGGACAAACATTTATTCTCCAGAGAGTAGAATTTGATCAGGATGATCAAATGCGACTCACTCTTCTCAATTATTTATGAATTGCGACCCCAGTGCTATTCATCACAGCTGGGTTTTACACCATTTAATTATTCAAAATAATAAGCAACACATCTGTAAACTTGGTCTGGCTTTAAGCAGGCTTTGCTTCAGCTGTCACAAAATCACTGCTATTAACAAATGTTGGACACCTTCTGCCTGTGTTTTAGCAAAGAAAAACACTTCTTTAATAGGCCTATTTTCTCCCTTCTTCCTGGAGCTCCCTGCTGCGAGTGCCACGCCGTGGCAGTCAGTCGGAGAGATGGATTTGGCCAGTTAGTCCTGTTCTGGGGAACGTGGGGTCCCCTTTGAAGGGAAGTAAAACTCCTCCAACTGCACTGCACTGCACACGCCAAATTCTGTTCTCCGTGCTGGCTTAAAATTTGGAGTGTCTCCTTTGAAGTCAGTATAGCTACTGCAGATGCATTTCTCCATAGTTGAGGTCTCGGCTTCCTAAAGAGTACATGAAATTTCCTTCTAGAGTAAGGAGAAGGAATAGGAACAAGACAATCACTATCTGGGATAAACCATCTGGCTCCCTTTCATTGCTTGTGTTCTGCCCTGCTGATGCCTCGTGGGCCTAATTTTCTTCCTTATGGTTCACAGTGATGGGACAGAAGAGTGAAGCCCAGGCTTTTTCACAGACCCTGTAGGTAGAATGTTTCTCAAGTGCCTAAAGTGACTCAGAGATCAGAATCCCAGTTTTGAAAGTGGCTGAGGGATAGAGGAGCCTGAGGTTACATTTATACAGCAGCTATTGGAAGTGGCTAGTGGTGTAACTTCTCACGTCTGGTCAGATCCAGCCATGGTCTATGTGCTGGCATTGTATCTGCCAGCTAGCATGAAGCCTTAGCTAACGTTTTATGGAGAAAAAGTAGGATTCCAGATGCAACAGAAAATCTGGTGTTACAGGGGTGCTAGCCCTGGGTGCACAGCCACATAATGCTAAGTGCAGGGTGGGTGCAAATTCATGATACACGCTCAAATTTGTTTCAAATAGGTTAGCAGGTTGCCACTGTGCCAGCAGACTTCACCCAGGACCAGATATTGTCTGCCCACACCTCTCTAACTTTCTGCCATGGGCAACTGTTACCGTTCTTGCACATAACAACATAAAAGCAGCATGAACTTCTCATCGTGAGGTCTTGCTGCTTTAGCAAAAATAGGATTGTGTGCTGATACCCAATCTAGATCACATGCTGAGGGATTGGGCAGTATGCATCAATAGTGCACCTCCAACCCCTTCATGCCTGGGGAACTTCTGAAAAGAGGCATTAGGTTCTGCAGTCATACGGGCTTTTTACAAAAAAATCTGCTTTTTACATCTAAAAGGAAGAGAGAAGAGGATGGCAACGAGACGCTGAAAAAATGTGATCAATACTACAGAATAAATAAATCTTCCCAAAGATAGCCAGCGCATAGGATTTTTTTCAAGGAAAAAAGGATCAAAAATCTTTTCAGTAATTTCTGTGGCAGGAGGTTTTATGGTGGAACCTGTGAAAGGAAAGACGAAGCTAGGCGCACACATACTCTGCCCGATGTAGAAGGTAAACACTCTCCATTCGTTTGTTGCTAGTTTTTGGTGTCTCTTCTTGTGTTTTTGGCAACACGTTGTGGGGTTGTACTGAGTTGGTTTTTACATGAAGAAGATTCTTTTGAAAGTAAATTGTGTGACTACTCCCTCCTCCTCTTAAAACGAGCTGTAATTACAGCTAAATATTTTGTGAATGTGCTTAGGAAGCGTTTTATGTGCAGAGGAAAAAAAATGACTTTGAACTCACAAATCTTTCCTTGGAAAGTACATCCAAAATGAATCCTTATTCCCTTTGGGTAATCATAGTGCAAGTAGCCAGCTTTATTGTCTGGTGATGGCTGGGCTTTCTTGTATATACAGGATTGTTAAGATTTCCTTTGAGTCCTATGAATTTTCAATTTTTGATATAAACTGGAAATATAAGGCCCAATTTAATACTAAACAACAAATAGCTTTTTAAAATAAAGTCCATGATCCTGCATCGCCAGTGCTGGTCTCTGATACAACTCTTTGTATTCCACCTTGGAATTTGTTCAACTGAACACTGAAAAAAGTTCAAGGAGGTTTTTTGGCTTGTGCTCGGGCAGTTCCAGCACCCTCTTGCTATGGCATACAGGGTGAGGTACCACATTTTTACAGGGCAGCACTGGGGCAGGGTTTGGTGGCAAGACCTAGCAGAGATGGAGGGGCTTCCCCAGCCAGAGATTATATCTACTCCTTGTCTAGCCAGAATTTTCTTGGCATCATTATGTTTATTAGACTTTGATAGATCTTTCTTCCACACATAGACTTCTGCTGTCCAAAGCATCCCATGGCAATGAATTCTACAATTTGTTCCACAAGAATGGACTTCCTTTTGCTTTTAACTCATGCCTAATAACTTCTTTTGGTGCCTCCTACTTTTTGCATTACAAAGTACATCCCTGTTCACTTAAACGCCTCACGTGATTCTGTCTGCCTCCCTCATATTCCCCCTTAACCATCTGTTTTCAAATCTGAAGAAGTCTAAACTATTTAATTTGTTTATTTGTGGAAGCCATTCTAGACTTATGATGACTTGTTCTCTCTGTACCTTTTCTCCTGCCTTTACCATATCCTTTTCGAGATAGGAAGGCCAAAACTGTGCACAGTATTTAATGAGCAGGTTTACTGCAGAGTTCTGCGGGAGCACAGTGATGTTTTCTGTTTGGTTTTCTATTACTTTCCTCCTTCCTAACACACTATTTGTTTTTTAACAACTACTGAGCACTCAGCTGACACCTCCAGAAAACTATCAGCTGTGACCCCAAGGTCTCGTCACTGAATGGCAATAGCAAATTGGGAACCTGTCAGTATGTATGTATAGTTTGGGATTTTTTTCCCAAGTACATCACTTTGCATTTATCAACATTGAATTTCATTTGCCATTTTATCACTCAGTCACTCAGTATTGCAAGATTGCTCTGCTTCCCTTCACAAACAGCTTTTGTTCTAATTATCCTGAATAATTCTCTTCTGCAGTCCATTTGTGAACAGATTAGGTTCCCATAAGGTCCCCCTAGTGAAATCTGAACACTGACAATTCCTGGGCGGTGAGTCCCACTGTTAAAGTGTTGGTATACAAGGTGAGTTTTACTTTTGCTCCAAGACAGATCAGTTTTTAAAGTAATGTTTTCTGGGAGGCATTTCACAAACACTGGAAATCCAAATATGCTATTCTCTCCCAGACTGTTCTTACCTATGGACTTCTTCAAGGACCTCTCCACAGTGTGTTAGAGGCGTTCACTAGCTCTGCTATTTATTACAGCGTCTAGCACTTTGCCCCACAGAGAAGTCAGATTTAGTGGGCTGTAGTGCCTGAAATCCCTTCTGGATCTCATTTTAAAAACCGATGTCACATTTGTCATCTTCTATTCCCCTGATAGCCTGACTATATAGGGCATGTGCCCTCCAAATTCTTGTATCAAAAAGAGTGTGAAGCACCACCTCCCACGATAAAGCTTTTCACTCCTTCCCCCTGGCCGGTTACTGGAATAACGCAGTAAGTTTTTTGAGTAGTCTTATCCTTTTGCTCTAAGAAAGGAACACTAAGCC